GACACCTACTTCACAGAGTTTCTGGTGGATTAAATGAGAGCATGCGTGTAAAAGGCCTAGCACGTGCCTGTTGTTAATCCTTCTCAAATCTTGAGTAATGAATCAGGTCTGTGTACAGGAACCTAGCTTTTTCCCTCATGTTATCAAAATTAGCTCATTTTCCCCCATCCTATGTTTTGCTGAGAATCACCCTTAACTGGACCTTTCCCTTGCCAAGTCACTGCCCTGCCTATTTTAACTTGAGTCCTTCCCTATTCTCAGACCACATTTTGAAAGCAGGGGTAGGTGTCCCAGGGCTCCCCACTTCACTCACAGTGTGTAGGTACAGTCCGGCTTGGCAGCCTGTATAACTAGAGGGGTGGGTGGAAGGATCAGGTTCATCTGGTGTTCTCTGGCCGAGGCTTGTGCTTACACTGGAAGCGTGGTGAGCCTGGGACTATGAAATCCGATTTTCTTCAACTTCTTTCCACATAGCAGCCTGGTAGCACTCAAGAAATTGGTCCTGGAACATGAAGCAGTAAGGAAATGTTGTTATTTCTTTGTTTAAAACTGAAACCCTAAATGTGCCTTGCGGCAGCTGATTATTTCATCATGGGACTCATGAAAAGTATTTCAGTAGACATCACCCTGTCCCATGACTGAAGCCACAGGGTCTCTGCTTAGATTTTATAGACCAAGAGTCGACACAGTTTTCCTATAAAAGGCCAGATAGTAAATATTTTAGGCTTTGGGGTCTCAATTCAACTCTGCTGTTGTAGTGTGAAGGCAGCCACAGACAATATGGAAACGAGTGAGTGTGGCTGTGTTCCAATAAAATTTTATTTACGAAAACAGGTGGCAGCTGAATGTGGCCTGTGGGCTGTAGTCTGCCGACCGCTGCTGTAGACGTTTGAGAGGCCGCTGAGAACAGCGGGTGAGAGCATGAGCACCTAGTGTGGTTTGTGTGGACCCAGCCCTGCTGCTTCCTGGCTCTGAACTTGGGCGAGTCGCTTAGTAAGGGGCGGGAGTGTCTACTCTTTGGGTTCTCATGAGAGTCCAGGGAGATGGTGTCTCTGAGGAGTGTGGTGCAGGGCCTGGCACGTGGTGGATACCAGCTGCTGCTGCTATTACTTGTTGCCCCCTTGCCTCTGCCAGTCTGTTGATGGGAGGGGCTGCTGAGAATGATTTTAGGCACATTGAAGGCTAAAGCTAGCTGGAAGTTTATTTGCTTGTTTATTTTTCAAGTATGAAGTCTAAAAGCAAAACATGTTTGGCCTTCTCTAGTTGCTGAGAAGGTCACCATTGTTATCTGTGCTGTGGCTTTCACAGCTCAGTAGGTAAACAGTGCAGCTAAGCGGAACCAGTTAGACAAGTCAAGCCGAAAATAAAGATAAGGTTAAATATCGACTTCATTAGACTCAGCTTGCTTTTTAGCTTTTATAACAAAGACTAAGCTGGTTGATGGGGATGCGCATGATTAGTAAACCCAACCTACTCAAGGACTTGCAGTTTGTTCTTCAGCAAAGCTTTCTCAACCAGCCACCTGCTCTGTGCCTGGCATTGTGCTAGGCAGCAGGAGGTGCAGAGACAGAGCAGGTATACTTTCCACTCTATAAGAGCTCACAGTCTAGTAAAGCGGAGCAGAAGGAAGTGTGGATAACCACAATGCAAGGCAGAACGGCACTGTGGCTGCCCACCACCTAACCCAGCAAAGCCAGACTTCTCCAGCATCCTTTTGTCTGTGGCGGTCTCTGCACCAGCCTGGGCAGGTTCCACTGCCTCCTTACATGCTTATTCTGAACTCATTTGACCATTCACTCATTACAAAAGTATTTGTGTGTGTTATGTGGCAGCCAATAAGACAAGGTCCCTGTTCTCATGGATCTTCAGGGCTAGTTGAAGAAACACAATTATTCACAAAATAATGCTATTAGGGTGAGAGACATAGCTGTATGAGAGTTAATAATAAAAAAATGAACAAGACAAGGAGGATTTCCATGGTGTGTCTGTGTTTATGTTGGTATACATATAGGTTATTTTATACAGAAATACTGCTTCTTTTCTCCTATTCCATTCCATTCATTTCTCTTCCCTTCCCTTCTGATGGATTCCTTTCTGAGTACTTGCCCAATCTGAGCTATATCCAACCTGACTTAAGTATATATTTAGGAAATAGGGCCAACAATTTAGGGGAAAAGCACCATTAACATATCAATACACACAAAAAATATAGTTATGTTAAGAAAAATTAAAGGTTCACCCCCCACCTGGGAGATATAGCTTTCATTTCAACTTGTAAAATTTGAAATGGTAAATTTTATTGTAATATTTTTCCTTTTCCCTTAGAAATTTCCATAGAATTTCTTTTCTTCTCCCTTCCACTTTTTATTTTGAAAAATGTCAAACCTATAGTAAAGTTTGACAGAATGAACATTCGTATTCTCATTACCTAGATTCACCAGTTGTTAACATTGTGCTTCATTTGCTTTTTCTCTCTCTCTACAGATTTAATCTTTTATTTTGCTGAGCCATTTGACAGTAAATTACAGACATCATGACATTTCACTCCTAAATACTTTAGCCTGTAGCTCCTAAGAACAAGGAAATTCTCTTTTCTAGCCATAAGACCATTATTATAGCAAAGAAATTTAATACTGATACAATAATATCTAATATATAGTCAGTATTCAGATTTCCTAACAGTCTCAAGAGAGTCCTTTATGGCTGTTTCTTTTTAATCCATGATCTAATCAAGGATCATTCATTGCATTTAGTTCTCATGTCTCTAAATCCCGTTAATCTATAACTGTCTCCCTGTCTTTTTTTTTTGGTCTTCATAATATTGACAGTTTTGAAGAATCCAGGCCAGCTGTCTTATAGAGTGTTCTAAACATGGAGTTGTCTGATTGTTTCCTATGAGATTCAGTTTGAACATTTTAGGAAGAATGTTACATAGGGGATGGGGTGTCCTTCCCATTAAATCACAATCAGGAATACAATATAAGTTTGTCCTATTATTGGTGGTGCGAATTTTGATCACTTGTTAAAGATGGTATCTGCCAGATTTCCCCATTTGAGGCTGTCTCCACCCACCCCATAATGAATAAGTAATCTGCGAAGTGCTGTGTTGAGAACAGTGACTATCTTGTTCCCCAACTTTTCACCCAATGACTTGAGCATCCTCTGATGATCTTTGCTGAATCAGTTATTACATTGCTGGTTGTGAAATGATATGTTTTCCTAATTCTATCATTCTTTCTACATTTATTAGCTGGCATTTTCCTGTGAAAGAGAGCCCTTCCTGTACTTTTTTTAGCATCTTTATAGACTCATGGATTCCTTTTTTATTCATTGTGTTATGATCCATTAACTATCTTTTAACTAAGAATATTTTTTTTTTTTTTTTTTGGTGAGGAAGATCGGCCCTGAGCTAAAATCTGCCAATCCTCCTATTTTTGCTGAGGAAGACTGGCCCTGGGCTAACATCCATGCCCATCTTCCTCCACTTTATATGGGACGCCGGCACAGCATGGCTTGCCAAGCAGTGCGTCGGTGCGCGCCCGGGATCCGGAACCGGTTAACCCCGGGCCGCCGCAGTGGAGCGCGCGCACTTAACCACTGGCGCCACTGGGCCGGCCCCTTAACTAAGACTATTTTAAATTGAGGTGTGATTTACACACAGTGAAATGTATAGATATTAAGTGTACAATTTGATTAGTCTTGACAATTGCACATGCCCGTGTAACTCCCACCCTATAAAGATACAGACCATGTCCATTACCACAAAAGGTTTCATTTGCCTCCCCCACCCTTACAAGCAGCACTGATCTGATTTCTTCATTATTCTCTCTGATGTTTAAATTGTCTGAAATGTTGGCAATGAAAGCGCCTCGAGTTGGCTCTGTCTGTTTGACGTGTCCCTCTTAATCTTTGAGCACCTTCTTGCTTTCTGGCACAAGAAAATATTTTGTTTTATTCTTAGCTACTACTACTACTACTACTACTACTACTACTACTGCTAATTATTATTGTTATTGTTTTTTATCGGCTGAAAATATCTCGTGGTATGAATACTAGTTTTATCTTTTCTCCATTGTGGGCTTCAGGTTATTTCCCTTTTTATCCTGTTACAAAAATGCTGTAGCAAACATCTTGGAACACATATTCTTGCACCACTTTTGTGAATATTTTTGTAGGCTAGAGCTCTAAAAGTGGTATTTCTAGGTCAAAGAATATGCACATTTAAGTTTTTGATTGATATTTCTAAATTCTTCCCTCCCCTCTTAAGAAGCCTCGTTAATTAAGTTTCCACAAACAATGCTGGTTTCCCAGCAGCCTTACCACCATTGAATTGTATCTGAATGTGTGTATATGGTAGTGCAGGGTTTGATTTTGGACTTATCCTTGAGCAAGGCCAACATGCAAACCATAGATCCTCCTTTTTGGTTCCAAGCCTAGTTTCGATTTGTATAGAAATGAAATCTCTCCTCAAAGGAGAGGTTAAACCCAAGGAGAAATTTTTGCCATTCTTTGTCATTCAGGGTCACATTCATCATTACAGCCAACTTTTGGCAGAGGATGTGCTTATGTTTTTATTCTGCATTAACCAAACATGGGAGACAAATGAAAAGGGAGGCGTGGGAGGGATGATAACATTGCCCCCAGGGCTTCTGGTCCTCTTGAGCAGTTTTTATAAAATTGGGTTCACAGTTACTGCTCTGTATTCCTAGCCTTAAATAACTATTGAAACTGATATTTATTTTGCAGTGAACCTTGATGATTCTACATTTGGGGTAGCAGGTTTATCAGAACATATGTGAGCGTGTGTGTGAGTGTGTGTGATCACTCTCTGATGTCAGCTAGCAAACAAAGACTTAGTGTTCTTGTTTTATTTTAAATATTGGACCTTCGGTTAAACACCTTTGTGGATGACTTGTAGCTTTTCTTTTTCTTTTTTCAGGTTGAGGAATTTGAAAGCTGTTGTCTCTTTGCTAAAGTTCCCTGGGTTGATTTTTTTATAGGTATTTGAAGCTGTGATTTCGTGGATCAATTATGAGAAAGAAACCCGTTTAGAGCACATGGCAAAGCTGATGGAACATGTCCGTCTCCCTCTCTTACCTAGGGATTACCTTGTCCAGGTGAGTGCTGTGTGAAGAACCAAGCACCTCCCTGCATACCCCAGCCTCTAGGAATGGCAATGGGCAATGCTGGCTGTATGGGGTGGTTGAGGAGTTTTACGGGTCTTTTGTATGGGTTGAGGGCACCAACCCACTGGGTTACAAGTGAGGTGTGGTAGTGTAAGGTTTAAGAGCATAGGCTGTTGAATAAGACACTTAGGTTTCAGTCCCTGCTCTGTTACTTGTTAGCTTGGAGTTTTTATTTAACCTCTTCAAGCCTCATTTTCTTCTTCCGTGGAAGGGAAGTTATAATGGAGCCCAGAGGGGTTATTGTGGGGACCAAAGGAGGTGCAAGCATGCAATTCAGGTGGTTAGCACGGAGCCAGGCATAACAAACGTTCAGTAGAAGTTAGCTGCTTTTATCGTGGAGGGCCAAAGCAAGAGGGATCATTTCCATAATGTTTTTATGTTCCCTTTTTGTCTTAGTTTTAGGCAACTTGGAGCCCCATTTAGGACTGTAAAAACCAGCTCCTCACAGGTGCCTAGAATACGTATTGTACCTGCTTCCTCTGAAAACGTGGCACCACAGGTTTTCTGGTTTAATCCTTATACCAACCCTGTGAGCAGAGATTATAACCCACTTCCTACAAATTTGGGTCCTGAGGCTTATGGAGGTTGGGATTTATCTGTCACCAGCAGGTAGGAGGCAGGTTCAGGATTCACATCCAAGTCTGCCAGGCTCTACAGCACACACCTTCCATGAAGCAGGCTGCCACCTATAATACTCTCTGTTCTGTTTATCTATTACATGACTTATTTTGTAGAGCAAATGGCTTTAGATACTTTTACAAACAGGCAGAGGATAGAACTTTAAACATATGAACAAAACAAAGCACCAAGGCAGTATGCCAACCTGCAGTGTCCTCGAGAAGTGTCTGGAAAGAATGGAAGGTGTGAAGCAAGGGTAAGAGGAGGTTCAGCAGCCTAGCATCCTAGGTCTGTCACTTCCCAGCCATCTAACACTGGGCAAATACTCACCCTTTCTAACCGTCAGTATTCTCATCTGCTAAAAATAGCACCTGCCCTTATGGGATTGTTTGGAGGTAGAATGAGATAATCCATATAAAGCCTGCAACCCAGTGTTGACTGAATTCTGGCTGATACAGCTACTATCTTCATGGGCATTGTTGCTGTTGGTAGTAGTGGGAGACACAGTATCCTCACAAGTACTTGTCAAGTCCCCGGCTCGTGACAATGTTGACCACAGGCCTGAGGGGTAGGTGAAATGTTCTCTGAATCTCTGAACCTCAGCCCTCTTCTCAGGGCTGTGCCCTGCATTTTACACTTTGGATGGTACCACTGCCGCCTGGTGGCAGCATATCCTTCTTGTAGAAAAGGTCCCTAAGTGGAGGGACTGAACCAGCCTGAGCTCCTGGTGTCGGAGTCAAACATCCCACTGTCCTGTGGGAAACTGATCAAAGGTAGAGGTGGACGTCTGCCTCCAGCACAGTCTTGCTTCCACAGGGAGGAAAGGCAGCCTGTGGACCCGGGTTCCAGAGAAAGCTAAAGGGACCTAAGAGACCCCTGGTCACAGCCTCTATTAGGTGCCCACAACTAAAACTTAACAAAGACATTATTATATAGTTCTTGGGTTATTACAGCAAAGTAGGGTTTAGATCCGGAGAAGAAGGGGTCAGAGGCAATGGGCGTGAGAACTGTTGTGTGAGACCCTTTTTGTTAAAAAGGGCATTTTTTAAGGACTTTTTTTTTTTTTTAAAGGGGTGTTTTCAGAACACTCAGGAAAAGGATGTTTCATTAGCACTCATTTGACCTTGAAACTTCAAACTAGATAAACTGCTGGGGATGGCTGATCGTGGTGGAGGAGGAGGAGAAAGGGACAGCCCTTGGCAGACCCAGGCTAACGCTGACTTCTGGGGGAGGTGTTTTGTTGTTTTTGGTTTTTCAATAGCTAACATTTATTAGACTTGTATTAAATATTTAAAAATATCGTACTAAGTGTACAACATGCTATATCTTAAAATTTTTTTAAAAAAATAAAATATATGTAACATAAACTTCATTTTAGCCATTTTTAAGTGGACAGGTCAGTGGCGTTAATTGCATTGACCATGCTGTACAACCATCACCATATCCATTTCTCAAACATTTTCATCCCCCCAAATTGAAACTCTGTACCCATGAAGTACTAACTCTTTGAGGGAGCTTTTCGTTCAAGCTGAATGAGTTCTTTGGGAGAACTAGCTGTGCATGTATTTCTCCTTCTTCTCAAGCTTTTTTGGAGATCCTCTCTCACTCTTTTTATTTTCTTAACTGACCCTAAAAGTTTATGATTTGTCCCAACCTGGCTCAGTCCCTCAGTGGGAGCATAAAAACACCTTCCAAGAAGATGAGTGTTCTTTGGAATCATCTCTGGGTGAGGAGGTGCCCAACTGTCTCGCCAATCCTTCTTTTCCCACCAACTCCAACGCTGCCCAGCAGGTGAGGGCCCTGGCCATGTTTTATTCCTAGTTACAGGGTGGGGGACCCAGGAGAGGCTCAGCCAGACCTTGTGCATGACCAGCCTGAGGGCTGAGATAATAGAGGCCCTTCTCCTTCTCTGACTGGACCGCGCACCTCAGAGTCAGAACCCGTGTCGTGTTCATCATTTTCTTTCCAGGAGCCAACACTGGGCTGCCCACCCAGGAGACATTCAGTCAGTGTTAGCTGTTGAAGGGAATTGACCTTTCGCACAGATCCCAAACACTCCAGCAAAGAAAACATGGAGTGGCCTCCGAAGACCACACTACCCTTTACAGATCTGCCGCATAGCAATCTGACTGGGGCCAAAGGGTGGAGATTTGAGAGAGCACCAGAATGGTTTCACCCATGGCCTTGCTCCTGAGTCGTTTAGGCTTACACTTGCTGAGCACCTGCTTAAGTCCATAGCTCTGGAATCAGAGGTGAAGAAGCCACAGTCCCAGCTTAGATGGGGTCCAAGATGAGGTGGGTAGGTGGGACTTTTGTGCAAGACATTCTTCTGCTCTGATATCATGGCTCTATTAAGAGAGTGCCCGGGGCTGGCCCGGTGGCATAGCGGTTAAGTTCATGTGTTCTGCTTCGGTGGCCTGGGGTTCGCTGGTTCAGGTCCTGGCTGTGGACCTACTCACCACTCATCAAGCCATGTTGAGGTGGCATCCCATATAGCTACAACTCGACAACTATGATATACAACTATGTACTGGGGCTTTGGGGAGAAAAAAGAAAAAGAGGGAGATTGGCAACAGATGTTAGCACAGGGCCAATCTTCCTCAAAAAAAAAAAAAAAGAAGACAATGCCTCACTGCCCAGTTTTCTCCCTGAGGCTTTTGCTTAAGAAAATGGATATTAATTCTTCTTCTTGACTGTCACCTTGTTTTACTCTATGCCTCCAAAGGTTGCCTGAGGGATCCCGCCCTCTTCCTCTTTTCCTCCCTCTCCTCCTCTTAAATGTCTGACCATTTGCCCTAAACATTATGATGCATTCAAACCAGGAGGAATGTGGGAAGAGGATTTCAGGAGAACCAATTTTCTTTGTTTTTGCATAATCTAATCTCAAAGCAAACAAACACACACACACACAGTGAGGTTGTGGGTAACTTAATTTGCCTGTTTTACAAATGAGGAAACTGAGGATCAGAGGAGTTAAATGGTAGAGGTGGAATTTGTGTCCCTGTTTGTTTGATTCCAGAATTTAATCATTTACTCCACTGTGCTCTTGAAATGCAGGAGGTGAGCACTAAGTCGTAACTCTGTGGACCTTTCTCTTGAAGCCTGAGATAATGTGGTGTGGGTATGAATGAGTGTGGGAATGCAGGAATGACACAGCCCGGGGAGACAGCTTGGGAAATGTGGTCGAGTTCTGCTCCTGGATCACCTGTGGGTTATTACCTCCAGACGGTTGAAGAAGAAGCTTTGATAAAGAATAACAACACCTGTAAGGACTTCCTCATCGAAGCCATGAAATACCATCTGCTCCCTCTGGATCAGAGGCTCTTGATTAAGAACCCAAGGACCAAGCCCAGGACTCCAGTCAGCTTGCCCAAGGTAAGGCCCAGCCCAGTCACTGCCAAGAGTCGGGACTGTGTCCTGGGAAAGTGGCTTTCCCCTCCTGCCTCCAAGTCTTTCCTCACCCTTGGCTGCGCTGCATCTTGTTTGCATTTACCACCTAGGAGATGGAGTCTGCTGGTTCCTCTTGAATCTGCTGGTACCTGTCTCTTCTGGGGTCTTTCTTTCCTACGAGTTTCAAGATAACCTCCAGTGTCACCCGGGAGCTTTCAGAATAACTCAGAGCTCTTCCCTCTCCCCTCCTTCTTGTTTCACACCGTGGTTTGGGCTCTGTTTCCACTGGAAGCAGAGGATTAGCTGTGTGGGTTTTAACTTAGTGATGGCCATCACAGCCCTCTTACTAGGCCATTCTTTGAGTCAGAACAGTCCTAGTCGGGTTCCTTCCCTCACCACAGAGCCATGAAGGACAATTAGGGCTGCCAGAGGAGAGGAGGGGCCTGAAGGTGTCTGACAGGTAATGAAGCAGGGGATGGAAATAGGGGAAATGAGACCTAGTGAGGGGGAAGCCAGGGGAAGGGAAGGATGAGCATAGGAGAGGCCCCTATGATGGAGAGTCTATGCTGGGTACTGGCTGCTTTGGGTCCATGCAAGTCCCCTCCCCTCGGGTCCTCAGGTCCCTCATCTGCAAAATGAAGGATGCTGCACTAGATGATCTCTCAGGTTCCTTCTGGCTTGGCATTTGAGTAGTCTTTCTAGGATCCTAACATACCGCTGTCTGGGGAAGTTTCCAGCCAACCCAGGAGGCAAGGCAGGAGGGGAGGAGTGAGTCGTGGCTCGTCGACTGCACAGTAGGCAGTCGTTGGGAATTATTTAGGCCCTTGATTTGTCCACCTCCTCCTCTTTTGGACTGGCTGCCTTACCCCTCACCTGCTGCTTTCAGGAAGCATTTCACAGGGCTCGAGAAGCAGGTTGTTGTCCGAGACCAGATGTTTGGACTCTCCAAGGTTTGCAGTTCCTTCTCTCCGCTCTGCTCTGTGGCCCAGGATCATGGAGATTATAGTGGTTGTGATGTGAATGAAGGTTACAAATGTCCTGCATAATAATATAAGCATTTTTAATGTCAATGATACTGACATTTTTTGAGTGCTGCTTATGTGCCAAGCAGTGAGCTGAAGGTATCCCATGTATATCTTACTTAATCCTCTCAACAACCCTAAAAGGTAGAGGCAGTTATCCTAGTTCTACGAAGAGGAAACTGAGGGTCCGAGAGATTAAGTGACTTGCCCGAGGTCATCGTAGCTGATGTGGTAGAACTAGCATTTGAGTTGAGTCTTGCTCACCCTCCAAACCTGTTCTCGGAACCCACACCCTCGGGCGCCTTGCTTCACCTTTGTAAACCTGAGTGTATATACCTACCTGTCTGCCTCCTGTTGCCTCATGCTGCTTAGAAGGGGCAGCCCCAGGGCAAGGGCCTTGGTCTGACTGGCCATTCGCCTTACTGTGTGTGGATGCCTTTTGTTTTATTTTGTTGAAATATCGCATTGAAACTTCTTTGTATTTTTCAAAATGAAAATAACTTGGTTTTTTTAAACTATAGAAGTATGTGCTCATTGTAGATTATTAAAAGGATACTACAGTTTTGAAATAAAGTAAAAAATCACCTGAAATCCTGCCATCCACGGACAGTCACTGCTGTCATTTTGGTGAATTTTCTTCCAGACATATCTCTGTGCACTTACTCACAAATAGATAAAAATGTATGCTTTTAGATCAATGGAATCTTGCTACATCGATTAAAATCTTTTTTCCTCCTACTCAACCATATGCTACAGACTGTTTCAATGTTATCAGCATGGATGAAATCAGCATTTAAATTGTAGCAGGTACATGGTATTTAAGTATACTTATGTACCATTATTTATTTCACTGTCATTGTCCTCTATTGATGGGCTTTGCAATAATTTCCATTTTTTAAATATTATAAACATTTCTGTGTCAAATATCCTTGAAAAGACGGCATCTTGTTTTAGTTCCCACTTCTTTAATTGTGAGTGAAATTAATGTTGGTTTCCTATGATTATTGGCATTTGTATTTTTTGGGGGGAAATTCTCTGTTCATGTCCTTTGCCCATTTTTCTATAGGACTCTACGTTTTTTTAATCAAGGGTTTGTAAGGGCTCTTTTTATGTTAAAGAGGTGAAGCCTTGGTATATATTTAAAATATTTTTTTCCTAGTTTGCAATTTGCCTCTAAACTTGTTTATAACATTTTTTTGAATCCCCAAAAATAATTTTTAAGTAGTTGATCTATTTTTTGCTTTATAGCTTAGGTTTTCATCATATGAGAGATGTTTTCCCTACTCCGAGATTAAAAAAGAACCTCTCATGTTCTCTTCAAGTACTTTTATGATTTCTGTTTTACATTTGAATCTTTGACGCACTTAGAATTGATTTTGGTGTAAGGAGTGAGCGTAGAAATCCAGCTTTATTTGTGTTGCAAATCATGAGCCAGTTGCCCCAAAGTTATTGTATTAAATGATCTCCCTGTGTCCCATGGATTTGAATACCACCTATGACCATTATGATCTAAATTTCCACAAGCTTTTTGTCTTGAGAATGTGGATGCTAAGGTGCACTGTTGTTTCACGTGGAGGAGGCTTTTTACATCCTGGGTTTTCAGCTGGCTTTGTTGCGTGTCTTTGTGACTTTTCTCTTTGGAAACTGAGGTTCTCATCCTTTATGATATCACGTTAATGACATCTCTTGCTGGGGAGTGTGTTCTGGAGCTAAGGAAATGGTGCAGAGCTGGCCCAGTTTCTTTGTGTGGAGGCCATACCCAGTGACCTCTCCTTTTCTAGACTCCATGTCTAGCTTTTACATACACCCACAGGGAGACAGTTTTAAAAATCAAAGTGAGGTTTGTGTCTGAGCCTGGACTAAGCATGGTGGGAAGCCCTCCGGATATTGAGTCTATAGTTAAGAAGAGTCCACCCTTTGTTTCAGGAGGCCACAGTTGTCCCCCCTGTCACCTCTACTCCATAGGAACCATTTATTTTCAGGATGAAAATGTTTAGATCCCTGGGCGTATAGCCTTCTGCAGGGAACTGGAGCCGGGACTTCCTTTGAATCTGTTGAAGGAATTAAAAAAAAGGCACCACTGCTCTTTGCCTGATTGTTCCCGTCTTTAATCCTTGAATCGTTTAAAGTTGTATGTGTTGTCCAGCCTGCTTCTCAATCTCTATTCTTGTCACCATTGTTTGGGAGCTTAAATTAATGAGGGGATCCCCTACTGTGGGTTTGAGGAACGGGGTGTGCTGAGGAAACAATCACGTTGAGGATTATCACATTGTACATCATCTTATTGAATCATCAGAATAATAGGTCAGTACTACTCATATCCCTACTTTTCTGAGTTTACTCAGAGAGGTTAAGTAACTTGCCCAGTTACACCACTAGTAAGTACAGAGCTGGGGTTTGAACCAAGGTCTGTTTCACTCGAGTCTGTGGTTTTTCTCTTATACCAAACTGCCTCCCAGGACACAGCTTTCAGGTTTTGGTGGCAGATAAAAAAAATCTTTTTCTTTCTTTCTTTTTTTTTTTTTTTTATCAGCAAAATCTCTTTAAATTAAAGCACTGTAACATCTCATTCATCTCATTAAGAGATGCATTTCCAATACATTTCCTTCCTTTTTTTATTAAGACTTTATTTATTTATTTATTTATGTATTTATTTATTTTTGTGAGGAAGATCAGCCCTGAGCTAACATCCATGCTAATCCTCCTCTTTTTGCTGAGGAAGACCGGCTCTGAGCTAATATCTATTGCCAATCCTACTCCTTTTTTTTCCCCCAAAGCCCCAGTAGATAGTTGTACGTCATAGTTGCACATCCTTCTAGTTGCTGTATGTGTGACGCAGCCTCAGCATGGCCGGAGAAGCCATGTGTCGGTGTGTGCCTGGGATCTGAACCCGAGCTGCCAGTAGCGGAGCGCGCGCACTTAACCGCTAAGCCACGGGGCTGGCCCAAGACTTTATTTTTTTAGAGCGGTTTTAGGTTCACAGAAGAATTGAGGGGAAAATACAGAGATTTCCCCTATGCTTTCTGCCCCCACACTTGCCTAGCTTCTTCTATTATCAACATCCCAGACTTTTTTCTTTTAAATTCAGGTTTATTGAGGTATAATAATTTATACACAGTAAAATTGCTCTTTTTAGGGATGCGTTTGATGAATTTTGATAAATGTGTTTATTCATGTAACCACCATCCCAATCAAAACATAAAATATTTTAATCACTTCAAAAAGTTCCCTTTTGCTGCTTTGTAGTCAAGCCCCTTCTTCAACCCCAGCCCCTGGCAACTATTGATCTGATTTCTGTCCTTACAGTTTTATCTTTTCTAGAATGTCAAATAAATGGAATCATGCTGTATGTAGACTTTTGAGTTGGCTTCTTTCTCTTAGCATAATGCTTTTGAGATTCATCCATGTTGTTCTGTGTATCAGGAGTTTGTTCCTTTTTACTGCTAAGTAATATTCCATTGTATGGATGTACTGTAATTATCCATTCACTAGTTGATGGACATTTGGGTGTCCTTTTTGGCTATTACAAATAAAGCTGCTCTGAACATTCACCCACAGATCTTTGTGTGGACATGTGTTTTAATTTCTCTTGTGTAAATATGAGTAGGATTGCTGGGTTGTATGGTAAGTACATGTTTAACTTTTTTTCTTTTTTTGATGAGGAAGATTGTCCCTGAGCTAACAGCTGTGCCAATCTTCCTCTATCTTGTATGTGGGTTGCTGCCACAGCATGGCTTGATGAGCGGTGTGTAGGTCCGCACCTGGAATCTGAACCCTCAAATCCTGGGTTGCCGAAGCAGAGTGCACGAACTTAACCACTATGCCACCGGACCGGCCCCAGACATGTTTAACTTCAAAAGAAATTGCAAACCTGTTTTTCAAAATGGCTGTACCACCATGCATTCCCACCAGCAGTGTATGAGAGTTCCAGTTACACCAGAGTTTCACCTATTTGTATTATCT